CGAATATATATTTTGAATAATTCTTTGCCAAACTGTGTCTGATATGGATTCCTCCAAGTCCATCTCCCACTTGTAATGATCTGTACTTTCTACTCCAGGTTTTAAAAAGACGAAGCAGAAAGTCATTACTTTTATTTCATTTTTGCTTGTTTTCATTGCAGCTTGTGTCATTGTAAAAAATAAATACTATCCATATAAATTGTGCCTCCTAGATAGAGTGAATTTAATTGTGGTTGAATGAGAAGTATAAATATATAAAATTCTGATAGTTTGTACACAAACAAAGCATGTCACACTCCAGCAGGACATAATCATTAAAATAAAAGTACTGTGCTTATTACAGAAAATCTAACTGCTTATTTTAAATCAATACGTTTACTTTTAATACACAAAAAATATCAGATTCTTGAAGACTTTTACTCAAGTAATATTCCTAAAGGAGACTTTAACTTTTACCAAAGTAAGTTTTATAAGATACTTGTACTTTTACTCAAGTAATATTCCTAAAGGAGACTTTAACTTTTACCAAAGTAATTTTTGTGTAAGATTCTTGTACTTTTACTCATCACTTTGTGGTACTTTATACAACCCTGTTACTACACATCCAAAGGCTGTTGATGCTGGATGAGTTTATTGCAGCGTCTGAGTAAAGCTCATAAAAGCTGGTTAATAATATCCATGTGTTTACAGGTCTGGCGGGGAAGATTCTCAACTCCATATCTGCAGCTGGCTTTGAGATCTCAGCTCTTGAAATGGTAAAAACAAATCCCTCTTTTCATGTGTGTTATTGTAAGTAATGTGTTTACAGCATCATTCAAAGTTTTCTGCAGACCTTTGAGTTGTTCAGGAAATTGGTGTTGATGCAGACAATAGCCTCATTAGCTGGAAATATAAGTGAATATTAGCATTTTATGCTATTAAAGCAGTGTTTCAGATCATCTAGTGGAGTTCTGTGAAAAGGTTGTGAACATGTAGTATCTTACCTGCTGTAGATAACTCTTCAAACAGCCTTAGTTTGGAAACAAAGTTTATTTCTGACTGGACTGATGATCCTAAAACATCTCAACCTCCAGTATTTCTCAGTGGTTCACAGAGACGAGCTTTTTAAGTACAATGACTCCTAATATTCATCTGCCTCTGCACACACCTACAACCTGTTCTTCACACAAACAGTAAACAGATGACCAACTTGCATTATTTTACAGCGTGTGCTTATTTAGTCTTATAACAGATCAAAGATGTCCTTATAATTCCTGGAAGTCAGTGAAGCCTTCATTACCTGCTAGTCTGAGATTTTGACGTTTTTTTTTTTTTCATTTAAGTAAAAACAAAAAATTTCAACACAACACAAACACAATATCAATAAATGAAAAGGAGCAGAAAGAAGAAAAATATCTTATAACGTCTGCTTCCATTTAACAAAAAAATACATATATATACAGCGGATAAAATAAGTATTGAACACGTCACCATTTTTCTCAGTAAATATATTACTAGAGGTGCTAATGACATGAAATTTTCACCAGATGTTGGTAAC